TTACGAGCACTCATGTTACATTAGGCAGCAGCAGAGAAAGACACATACACATACAGCCACCAGAGGAACAGATCACTCCCACATTAGAAAAGGAAATGGAAACATAACAGAAGGAGACTGAAAGAAGCTTTAGAAAACTAGTGCAGAAAACAATACCTTTTCTATTCCACAGATACTTCTCTAAGAATTTTAGATCAATTCTTTCTCAGTGTAACTATACCAATACAATGGTCCTATGATTACTCACAAGAACATATGATGGGAAATGCCCCAGAGGACAAACGAGAATGTGGTAGGGATGCACCTTTAATCTCTGTCTGCATCAGACATTCACCTAAAAGAGGGATATCAGCACTTCCCTAACCTGCAGGTATTTTAACAATGTTAAAAGTCTGGGAATCTTCACATGTAACAGGTGACATACCAAGACCCTCACTAGACAAGCAATCATCAAAACCTTGGGCAACTGCCTTTAGACCAAATTTAGTACTGACTGGGTGCATCGACACAAGATGTTCACTGCAGAGTTGCCTAATTAGCTCCACAGAAAAGCATCACCCATCTACAGGAGCAGTGCTACAGGAGTAGGAGCAGTGCTACAGGAGCAATAAACTCTGGTGCAATCTGCACTGAAGTTTATTGTGTCACATTAATCATCATGTGTAGACACGCCCATTATGTGCAAAGAGTGAGCAATTCCTCACCACTGCAGCTAGTACCCCCAGTCCAGATGAAACGCAATGGGAGTACTGCTGCTACCCATTCTGTATCTTTTCTGTGGAAAATGTACAGGACACTAAGGGCTTTCAATCCACTAGTTTTCATCACTACTAAATCAGTCATTTAAAAAAAAAAGATCCTTCCTAAGGGAGCACTGGAGATGAGAAGGTGGATATTTATATGCATTTACTTTTACTGACTGGAATTCATTGCTACTGAAATAGATACACATTATACTCTGTGTGCCCATTTTATATATATGTAGAGGATGCTACTGAAGTAAAAATGTATCTTTCACTTTGTTCTGGTTTCGGACATTAATAAGTCATGCTCTTTTATGGAGCATATTATATAGATTTTACATTTTAAAAAAGAAAAGAGGTAGGCAAAATATGCAATAAAACAAGTAAAACCTATGTTTTTTCTTATTGATTAAAGCACACTTTCAGAAGAATATTTTATATCCCAAAGCAACCCTGAGCAGCACCACACACTAAAGGGGAAGGGTGAGTTACTAGAAGAGGATTTTCAAACAAATAAAGCACCTCTGTGTTATGAACTGATATAAACAGCTGCTAGAGGAAACCTTTTCTTTAGTGGTGCACAAGCATTTTTTTACTGAACCTCTATAACGCAGGGACTGGGCTACATGTCCTTGAGCACCATTGCTGACACCTTATCTATTAACTATTTATATTGGTACAAGCAACTCTTGTATAAAGCACTCCTATCTCACACCTCTATTAGAGGAACTTAGTAATTTCAGTCCACTATGTAGTCCTTGAAACAACCGGGTAACTCTGCCATATTATAAAGGGTCACTGAGTCCCATTCTGCTCCTGCTATGTCCTTGGAAGTTCTGAGATACCAGATTTTCTGGCAGTGTTTTCCCCAACACTTGCCTGTTGCTAGTGCGTGAACTGTTCTCACAACACTTGATGTTCCCTGCATTCACAGTCATCTTATTTTCAGAGCATTCCTGCAATAGTAATCAATATTTGGTCTAAAAAAAAGAGGATTAGAGTTGAGGTCAACAACACCTTAATGCAACAAGATTCACTCTACAAAGTAATATGCATCAGGTGAGAATGTGTCAAAATTTAAGGGGGAAGTTATGGCATTTAGCCAGTGACTGAGCAGACCAGCTTGGGTTCTCTACCCAATCAGGTTTTACTTTGCCTCAGTACTAGAACTGGTCAGCAAAAGAAACCCAATGGAATTAGTTTTGTGTTAGAATCGAGGTTGCCCATCACTTTAATTGTACATTTATACAGGTGAAAGGGATGGACAGAAGTGACAGGCAGAACTCACTGTCACAAGATGTTGTAGAAGCCAATAGTATTATTGCACTTCCAAAAGGATTAGACAAATTTATGGAGGATAGTCCACGAGGTGTTTTTAAACCTGGCAATTGGAAAATAGTGAAGGTATGACAAGGGATGATTCCCTGTATGTATACATGCTTCGTTTCTTACACTCTTCCTATAAAAAGCATAAGCTACTTACTACTGTCGAAGACAAGATACTGAGCTAGAGGTACCAGTGTTACTGTTCTTGTAATCGAGGATAATTACCTCATCCAAATAATAGCTCTCTTCCTTATAACATCATAACTCTGCAAAAAAAGTTCTCTTTATTAATCAACTTCATAATCCATTTCTTTTTTAATGAAGGAGAGAATGAACATTCATTTTGACAGTTCTAAATCATCTGTTGTTTGTTCTTGGTTCCTCTCCAGCTATTCCTAAAGTTTGCTGCGAAATGACTGAAATGTTGTATAGCAGGGAATTTCCTTCTCCCCTCACAGTGAAGCAGAATACATATTCTATAAGCACTAACAGTTAAAAACAATTTCTTTTCTAAAGCTATAAAATAGTCAAACAGTTCTGCAAATCATACACAAAGTATTGAAAAACTAATATAACCAAGGTTCCTATTATTGTATAATTCTATCTTTACTATATAATTTATATATATAAAAATAATGTAAATTGATAGGAAAATGAAGTGGTTGTAAGGAATGCTTACAATACATTCTCATTATAGTATATATTATATTGTAGGCACACTATTATTAACAAGTGAGAAAAAATGCATGTACCATAAATAATAGCTAAATAAAGCATGTTCATCTGCCTGTGTGCTTTTTAGGGCTGTGCAAACCTTTGGTCACTGATTTGATTCGGCAGAGATTTGGCCCAATTCAGTGGCCGACTCTCTGAATCCAAAGCGGATCAGGAGACCCTTTAATCTCTCTGAATCGAATTGAACCCTCTGAATCAATTCAGAGAAATTTGGTAAGATTCGACCATTTGGACATAGACACAGCTTTAAATGTTTTTTCTACATACCTCAAGGTAACAGGCAGCTCTTGTATGCTGAGATGCTGGGGGGGATGGAGCATCCCACAGGAGCATGAGGGAGTCCCCAGAGCACTTGGCAGCAGACCCAGAAGTGGACCAGAAGCACTTCTGAGTCTGCCAGGGAGTGCATGGGCCCCTCCCCCTTCTATGCCCCCCCCCAGCTTGGCAATTGGTCTGGGTCTGGGGGGGCATCCAGGGTCCCTCCGTGGCTGGCTGCCAAGCTAGGGAGCATGGGGGAGCCCCCCAGTGCATTTGGCAGTGGATGTGGAAGCAGACCAGAAGTGCTTCCAGCCCACTTCCAGGTTCACTGTTGAGCATGTGGGGGGCCCCCTCATGCTCCTGTGGGATGCTCTATCCACCCCAGCATCTTCGCATTCATGAGCCACACCTGGTACTTCAAATGTAGAAAAAATATTTAAAGCTGTGGATATGTCCAAATCATTGATTCTCCAAATCAGCATCAAATCTTCAGATTTGGATTCAGCTGAATCAAATTGGGGGCATTGATCTGAATCAGCTAATTGAATCAGGCCAAATCCAAATTTGAATTGAATATGGCCCATTTCATACAACCCTAATGCTTTTCCTAAGATCAGCAACTTCACAAATAGCAGAAGGTAAAAGCTCTGCTCTCAATCAAGATCAATTCAAGTGAACGGAAGACAGGGGAGACCAATGCCCAGAAATGTTCAAGCCTTCCAAGGAGAATAGACTAGCTCTTCAGAACCAAGATACTGGCCAGCACACAAGCAGTTAAAACACCAATTGCTGCTGATTTAAATGTTTTCGTGTTATTTGCTCTTGAGAAATGCTCTCTCTTGTCATCACCAGGGAGTACTCTGTTCTTCTCATATTATGCAAAACAAAATCTCAGGCAGGAGAGAAAAAAAACATCCATTATTAATTAGACATAAATTATTCCTAATCTACACACAATGCCTAATCCCTGGTTCACAGAAATGCAAATTGTGCTTCAGAAACAATATGTTAACAAGTCATTTGTCAGCAACAGACAGGAGACCAAGCTCAATATAAAATATAGAACAAACACTTCAAGCTCATTCCAAAGAATATACCAATTGAAGGTTGACCTGAGCAGCAAGGAAATGCAAGCTAGAAAACTCTATGAACAAAATACTTCACACAGTGAACTTGCTCATCAATAGATGAGGGGGAAAAAACGTAATCGCCAAAAGTGTCGATATTAACCACCATTTTAAGGTTTCCTCATGAAGGGTGAAAAAACATAGACTATATATCAGAGTGATGAGAACGATAATTAAACCATTAAGGTGATGGTGATGGTGGGGCCTGAACAGCGCGCTGTTTTCTTGTTGTTGTTTAATGATCAGCATGAGGCATCACTAAGGCCAAGAGCTTAGCAAGACTCAAATGTGGTTTAAATGCTTGTAAGGACAATGAAAACATCCAGTTATATTATAATTAAAGGCAAAAAGGAACCTGCATACTTCTGCTTTAACCTGAAGCTAAAAACAAAGGTCACACTGAAGAAACTTTCCCTGGAGCCATGTTATTTCATAATCACTTTCTGTAAAGTTTTTTTGCACCTTCTCAAAATACACTATTAGTCACTGCTGGAACCATAGCAAATTACTTGGACTACTGATCTGATCCACAAGGGTAAATATTCTATCCCAATGGATATAGATATACTAAAATTCCAGCACATTATACAAGACAGTGCTACCATGCATATCATGGTATGGCGAAAGCATTCCTTCTCTGCTTGTCAATAATTGGGCACAGTTATTCCCTGGACAATATGTTGGATGAATAATGTACTTCCTGAAGAATAAAATACTGAATGGATATTATTGACTGGCTTTACAGTGCATGATATGTATAATACCTTATTTGGCAAATAATATTCAGCTCTTTTCTCTCCTTTTTGTTCAGATCCCTCTGAGTGGTCTGTGGCAAGTGGGAAAAAAGAGAGAATACAATAGCATGCTCCTGACTGAATGGCAGTTAGAATCATACCCCAAAACCAGGAAAAGAACTTTGACATTATTCCCTCTTTCTGCCCATGGCTGGTGGCTGTTCATCTTTACTTCTTTCAGTTTAAAATCTCTTGACATTTGTAATAGGTTGAAAACTTGATCCAAATCAATTGTTCAGTCTTCTTATTTTTTTCTTCCCAAGATATTCAATAAGCACTTTGTACTGCTTACACCAACTATGTGAGAATATACATAAGAAGCCATATAGGCTCCTTCTGGTCCAAACCGTAAGGTATTATTATGCCTTTGTTAGCTCTACAACACTTTCTTGAATAGCCTTTGGCTGATAATAGCAGACCAAGCTCTCCACTGATTGTACTGCATGTTGTATAATTATTTCTACTAGTGCAAATGGAATGTAGAACAGTGTCCATTTTACATTGCAATAAACAGTTCCAGGAGACAGAGCAGCGGAAAGTCAGGCTCAGCATCTTATGGAATGGAGCAGTACAGAAAGAGATGTTACCTGTCCTTGTGGGAGAAAACAGAATGAATTTTAAAAATATAATATGGGCATACACAATAGCAAGGTTGGAAACAGTTATTCAGCACTTCACATCCTGGGAAACAAGGCTTCCAAGTATGGTGAAAATATGGGGGCTGCCATGCACAAAGACCACACTCCCTGCAATTTAAGGAGGACCCCACTCCCTGCACAGTGTTTGTGAGAACTAACATGCAGTACACAATGTCAGTAACATAACTAAAAAGGGGAAGGCAGGGGCAGCAGCCCTAGGGTGTGTGGGTGTGTGTGTATATGTGTGTGTGTGTGTACCAGCCATCTTCACTGCTGGCAGCCAAGATCTGCCACTGTTCCGTGCCCTGCAGCTGCCTTGACCACAAAGATGCCCTGTTATGTCTCTGCACAATATTGTTAAGAGCTCCACTTACTAGATTTAAGGGAAAAAAAACCCCTACATATCTCCTGGGTTCTCAGCATCTTCCCCTATATTTTTTGCTTTTCTCCTATTCTCCTTGGACTTCAAAAACCTCTAGATCAGGCTCCTAAACCTCAGTCTTCAAAATCCTTTTACTTACAAGGAAGGTTATTGCAAGCAGAGTTGGGAAGATTAGCTTCTTTTACTGTAAGATTTTTGTGGCAGGGACCTATATATTTTGTTTTTTAGAATATTTGAATATGATAATTGAATATAATTGTGGTTGGAAAAGATTTCAGGAGTAATGTAGTTCAATTCCCTACAGTGAACAGTAGCTTAACTATGTATGGGTAACTGAGCCCAGTTCTGGGTGCCAACTCAGAGGGACTACCGGACCCCAGGGAGTCTGCACCCAGTGTGGTAGTCAAATGTAGAGACCCTCTCACACACACTCACCCTCCCCATAGAAGATGCTTCTTTCTTGGCCAAATTCCCTACTATTGACAGCTTTCAGTGGTGATAGATGTAGTTGCAGTAGGTAAGACAGCATGAAAGTGCTCACAAGGCTTGGGAAATGTTGGGCTATAGTGCAAACCTTATATGTTATGCCTCTGACAGTCAAAACAAAACAGACATTTCACAGTTAATTGTGTTGCATTTTAATATATCTTTGAACAGTGAAAGAGATACTAAGGCTGTTTCCAGGCTCTGGAAGACATCACTGCATCAGTTCAAGGTCTGCTTTGGGAGCTTGTGTTTGCTACCATAAAAACTAGATCGTTCAGAAATTAATACCATCCTCCTGGAATAGGGTCCTATTTTCATAGCAGATGGAATTTTCAAATTCTGAGTTACCTTATGTCCATCTTCTTTACATGGTACTACATGCTATTTATGCTGTGAGGCTAATTGCATCCTCCTCTGCCTTATTTTACAACTAAATTTTACAACTTAGTTGTCTCAAAAAAGCACATTCTTACTGGCTGGAATTTCTGATTTGAATAATAACTGTAGAGTTTAATACTCAATAACCAAAAATATGGAACCCCAAGTATTCTTTCCGACTATCCTTCTCTGATTGCTCTATCCACATACTCACAATAGACTGTTTACCTCACTCCAATATGATTATAAGTATTAAATCACAATATAACAGAATTCATATGTTTTTGCTTGAACCCTCCATTTCTTTTGACACAATCAATTTCCTTTGTTTCTAATTTCTATGATCTGTTTTGTATTTAGCTTGTAAACCACTTCAAGGTATTGATACATTGCAAAATAATGGCTCTATAAGCTATTTATTTATGTGAAAAGGAAATACAGTTCTCATATGAGGAATCATTTTTAATGGAGGGCGGTTAAAAAAAATTGGTTATGGGGTACAAGGAGCAGCAACAGCAAGAGGAAGATTCAAAAACACTAGGTTTAGTCAGGATTTCTCTGAGGAGTGACTAATTAACCAAGCAGGGATCAGTAGCAAAATGCAGATCTTATTTTTGTATAACACCATCAACACGCTGCTTGGTGATAACTTGGTAAAATATGTCTGTGTTTACACATGCATGTAACAGCAGAGTACACTAATTAGAGGTGGAGTAAAGTGTCACTTTCTACATTTGTGACAGTATTAGGCCACAGTAAACTAATTAACACCACAGTAAGATAGACATACTATGTTACACCAGGGTAATTTACTAAGATTAACACACAAGTAAATGCTAACTGTGGGCATAAATTGTGCCTGGTAAGTCCAGCTAGCTGGGGGCCAGACTCTTGTCTGCCACATAAACACATGGCTCTGCACTTTCAGCACCCTTGTGTCCCAGCCAGCCCCTGCGCTGCCCGACACTACCACTTCAGAACCTGGGACTGACCCCCTGGGTCCCCTGCCACCCTGGGCCTGTTCTACCATGGCTAAAATTGCTGCTGTCCCTGATGCACATGTAGATGCTCTGCCCAAGAGTAATTTACTCCAGCTCATATTGCCCTGGAGTTGTATTAATAGCTTTGCATTAACTGCATGTGTAGATGCACCCTGTATAACCTGGGCTAATGGACTACTTAGCATATAAAGTCAGCCCTGGATATGTAAACCAAAAGAAGCCTCAAAATTTCATTTTAATATCCATTTTCTGGACTAATAAATGCCTCTACCTCTGACTTAGCTTGGGATGCTGTTATTACCTTGTAAACAGGAAGCTATCATTTAATATTACCATGTCTGGCTATGCAGTATACTTTTGGTCTTTGTATTCAGTGTTCATTGGCTGAACAATGCTATTCAGCATAACCTTACTGTATATCATATAGTATTCATTACATATGCTGTCCTCCCTCCATTAAATGCATTCTTAGATCATATTCTAATTTACAACAATATTTTCACTTCGACTTCTGAGAGCTTCCTGATATAGGAATACACAATGTCACAGCAATGACAATTGCCACTCTGCAACTATCCCCACTGAAAGTCAATTGAATTTCAATTTCTTTCAATGGGGAAAGTCAGGAGGAGCCAATTATCGTTGCTTTAACATTGTGCAGTTTTACCTCAGGCATCAGTTAGGTTCCAAACGAAAATGTTTCAGATCCTGCTTGCAACCTTCCTCCTGATAAAATGCATTTTTTTCTGACTCCCAAGTGTAGTGCTAAATAAAGATAGTGCTGCATTAAATACATTTTACTATGTTGGCACTGTTAAGAAAAAAAAGGGGGGGGGGCATATTCAAAATTTAAGCTTCCTGTTTGCTTTACAAATCATGCATCACAACTTATGAATGAAGTCAGTAGGATTGTTGTTATATTTGGGAACTTATTCTTCCTAACTTGGAAGAAATCTCAGTTCTTTGCCAAGAGAGTGGTAGTCAAGTTGGAACAAAATTGCTGAAATACCAAAAACACATTTTAAGATCATTATGATTTAGGTCTAGGATCAGTATGAGATTAACTATGTAAATTGTGGTAATGGAGTAAGAACTGCAATACAATGGATTTCAAGCCAGGTTCTTGATTCTACAGCTGACATTGTGAACACCATAAAGAATCTAAATTCTACCCAGGCAGAAAGGAAACGTGCCATGTTATTTTGTTAGTATCTGCTCCAATTGCAGAAATATGTTTTGCTTTGCTTACAGAGACATATCAGCATCAGATGCTACAGAAGTGTATCCTTTTGTCAATGCAGATTTCCCTTGCCAACCGCAGGGGTTAGGTTCCTGCAAGTTCCCGTTGTTGGCAAAACTGTGGTTGTTAAGACAAAAAATTTATGGGAAAAATGGGGTTAGGGACTTGAATATGAATAATAAAGGAATATACAGTGTATAAAATAATTGTATTTACCTTTAATAGGTTACAAAAAGGTTCACTGTTGAGTAGTGGGTCTTTTAAAGAAACTTTAGCACTTTCCAGTGTACCACTTGCCTCCCTCCCTCAGTGGAGACATTATGTTAAAGAAGCATCCTGTACTCCCTCATATAAACATATCCTTAGTAAGAAGGTTGCAGGAGAGGGGACCATGAGCCTCCAGGCACTGGAAGGAAAAAAAAAAAGCTAGAGTCTCAGAGTCAAACCCAGTGTAGTGGGTTCAGACGGGGAGGCCCAGCCAGAGAAAACAGGGGTCAAGCCATAATAAGAGAGACCCCAACATACCCAATATAATAGGCAGTCTCCCACGCATAAAAATAATTTTCCATCAAGACGTGGCAGATGAGATTAGGACGGGACCAAATAATTACAAAGCAGGCTCTAAGGGCACCCCACGTAAGGCGCAGATAACCAGAAAGATGGTGCCGGGGACGGCGACCTGTTACAGAAGGATATTGCCTTATTAAGGTCTTCAAGCCTTTCAGAACAACAGAATTTCAATCTGCCTTTGAATGTTTATGCATGGCTCTATCCAAGAAAAAAGTTATTATATAAAGAAACATTCTGCAGTGTGAGGTTTGACTGCAGCAGTTCCTGTTTGTTTACTGGGTAAGTGAGAATTGCAAGGGTTATCTCTGTATAGGAAGCAAGCCCGGCTGAACAAACAAAATCCTTTGTAAACCTCTGACAATCTTAGCCACGTCTGTAAATCCAAGTGAAAGACTGAGCTTGATTGTGCCTTGCAGAGCACAGAATGAATTTAGCTCTGTCCTCCAATTTCATATGGTCCTGGGCTTTTTAAATAATACAGCCTTTTATAGGATGACTAAGACCACTTCATACACTGAGGATTTGTCCTGATTTCAGCTATCAATAGAGCTGCTCTGATGTAAGCCCTGAGCTTATATGAGGTAAAGTGCTGCAAGCTACAATTTATATCAGTGCAGCAGAGTTAAGCAGTACTAGCTGCAAATAGCAGGATTGCCTTTCTAAATTAGGGGACTGCGCCAGCCCAGATGTACAGGGGGGCTGGTTACTACTGAATTAAATCTTTGGAATATGAAAATGCCTCAAGGCCCTGGATAATAGTGGTTTCTCTCAAAGCATCTCCAATAAAGTAGCCTGCAGTTGGCTAACTAAAGGAGATCACATAATCTGCTCTCAGCACTAGCTGGTTTCCCCCAACAGACCTTTTGGAGCCATAGGATCATCAGGGCACACCACACC